CAGTGAGCCTTTGGCTTGTAGACTGCTCCCACTCTAGCACATCCAGAAGGAGTTTTTGCTTCTTCTTCTTTGCTTAACCACAGCTTGTTGTGTCATCCTAACTGACAGACTGTGTTTGATCTTCACCGTGGCTTGTTTGAAACAAGCCAGCTTCAAATCATAGGTTATAAAGCTGGCTTGTTTAAACAGGCTATACTTAATGCTAACCACAATTTAGGGTTTGGCTGACATGCTAAACTGAGGTTAATGGAAATCGGAATCGAAAGCTTCTAATACCCTCCTCACAGAAGAGACGGAAGGTGGACAAGCCCGTGAGCCTGCGCATCACTGCGGCTAAATTCTCATCATGCTAAACAATGGTTTACCCATGTGGCATCCAAACATGGTCTTTGTCTATGCGTTATTATATCTGTCAAAATGGGAAGCCTAATTCTTTCCACATAAGCACGTTTTGTTTCTGCTGCTTTTCAAATTACAAGGATTGATGTCTGAAAATTGCAAACACTTTATTTGCTTGGCTGGGTATTTCTCTGCTTGGGATGCGACAAAGCCAAAGAAAAATGGCAGAGCTGATTTTTCTTTCTCCATGGAGGTCTCATAGGATAAAAAAAAGAGGATAGTGTTCAGCTGAGATTTCTTTCTTACTTGGGATAAAAATTAACAAGCTGCACCTGACCGTCTTTGTGAGAGAGCCTGAGCTTAATAGATAATTCAAATCCCCTGCATTTTGATCCTGTTTGTGCCCATGTAATAAGCACTTAGAAATGAGGGCAACATAAATAGATTTTTCTAGACAGACAGATAAATAACTGAAGGCTAGTTGGGCATTTTGCACAAGTCTCCAATTTAATTCCTTTCACACATACGCAACTCCTGTGCTGGGGTTGTTGCTTGAAGACCTGCAAAATAAGGGGCATTTTTTGAGACTGTAGGGAAATGATGTATTATGTGCATCAGAACATTAATAGTCTTTTATTTGAATATATCACCCTTGTAATGCATTAAATGAAGGTTGCTTTTTGCAGTGATGGTGTATCATATGCAACCTTATGCAAATAAGGTTCATAGTTAAGGAAATGTTCCTTGAGACCAAATGTGAATGCAGGAGACACAGAATTCACACAAAAAAAGACATCATAGTTGGCAGGCGGAAAGAAATTAAGCACAGGAAAGTGGACAACAAAAAAGAGAAATACTGTGAACCGGGAGAAGGAATGAAAACTGCTATGAAAGCGAAACATAGTTTTCTCTACCACATTTTTTTATGTTTTATCACCACCCATACTTTGTATAAATTGTATAAATCTTCCCCATCTTTCATCCACAAAACATGTCTCTCTCCACTTCTATGGCCTCAATAAAATTGTGTCCAATTTCCCCCTCATCATGTCCCATTCCTTTTCCGTTTCCCTTAGAATATTACAGATTCCCTATAGAAAACATCAATAGTTTCCTGATACTTCAAAGTGTAAGCATTTTTTAAGCTAAGGTACTTGAAGATTTGAACAGTTCATATTAGTATCAGTGAAAAGCCCTGAAATCTCTGACCCCCTGAAGATATTGCAAAACTCTGGTGTTTGGCTCTATTTTGTCCAAGTGGATCTATAAATTATCATCTTCCACAGCCAGCATCAATTATATCATATAGGCACAATTCTCTCCTCTCATAATTCTTTCCACCCTATATCCCATGATGAAAAGTATGCTTTCTTACTTGCTTTGAAGTGGAACACAACAGTCTACAAAAGTAACAGAGACCATCTTTCATCTGTGACTTTTAATTTCCCTCTAAGGGGCACTACATCTTTAATAACAGCTTAGCTGTAGCAAACCCCTGGATTGTTTAGTGCAACCTTTGCCAACCTGGTGCGTTCCAGATGTTTTGGACTACAACTCCCATCAGCCACAGCTAGCAAGGCTCAACTGGAATTGTGCACATGTCCTATTGGAAAGGAGTTAGAGGGTTAAGTGAAGTAAGGTAAAAAGGTAAAGGACCCCTTACAGTTAAGTCCAGTCGCAGACGACTCTGTGGTTGCGGCGCTTATTTCGCTTTACAGGACGAGAGAGCTGGCGTTTGTCTGCAGACACTTTTTCTGGGTCATGTGGCCAGCATAACTAAGCTGCTTCTGGCGCAACGGAACACCGAAATCAGAGCAGCGCAGGGAAAAGCAGTTTACTTCCCCGCCACAGTGGTACCTATTTATCTACTTGCACTTTTTGGTGTGCTTTCGAACTGCTAGGTTGGCAGGAGCTGGGACCAAGCAACGGGGGCTCACCCCGTCATGGGGATTCAAACAGCCGACCTTCTGATCGGCCAGCCCAAGAGGCTCAGTGGTTTAGACCACAGCGCCACCTGTGTCCCCACTAAGCGAAATAAATACTCCCTCAATGGTGAGTCCCACCAGACATCTTCCTATAACAGCAGTCTTCGCATTGTCCACCATATAATGGCAAGTCTAAATAGCCCCCAGAACCTTTGCTATATCCAATACAAGCATTTATATCTATACCACTACATATTAGCACTATTAGTTATCCCTGGGAAAGAAAAAGATTGGTTTCCTCCAGAAAGTGGTAAGATTACCTGGGGACAAATGAGAATATATATATTCATTCAAACTGGGCTGGGCCACAGCAGTGGCAGTCTTTCTTCCTCTTCTGCTCTCCAGCAGCCGCTATGAGCTGCCCAAGGGTTGAAGCCAGCAACAGAGGCCATGGAGAGGCAACGGGAAGCTCTCTCACTGCCGCCATCCCTTGGAACAAGCGCCTGCTCATCCTCCCCCCTGAGCTCAGTGACGGCAGCACCGGCGGGGGAAATCGGGACATTCTTGGATCAAATCAGAAGCTGGGATGGCTGTCACAATTCCAGGACTGTCCCTGGAAAATCAGGACACTTGGAGGGGATGAACTAGGCATGTTTGGATTTTCATGTCAGGGACATGAAAGCAGCGATCTATTGCCTATGTACCACTTGCGGTCAGATAACATGGGCATCCTTGGAATAGGCTGACCTTCTCAACAATATAAACCATTGCACATTTCTCAAAGAAGCTCTTGAGTGCAGCTCATTTGAAAGATTTCAGAACTGTTGATGTTTTGTCATGAGACATATCATTAATATTCTTTGTTTCACTAATTAAAAAACAAACCAACTGAGTTTAATATGGAAGATTATACAGTCTGACCACCCCTTTTTGGTGTCTTCTACTGTAGAAAGCTCAGTCAAGGCCTGACCTTGATCATGAATTGGGCGCTCTGCTCCTCTCTGTATGCAAATGACACTAATTAATCCAACACAAACATCAATATTTTTGCAAAGCATAACCCCAAGTGCCGTTTTATGACCATGTAATTTACAAGGCCTTAAACTACATTAAAATTACCACATACAGTGTTTACAGTTTAATTACACGGCTATTTGCCTTACCCAATCAAGTGTTATTCATATAGTCCTTATCCACTGGCCCTAATCTTACCTAAAAAAGAAAACAAACCTTTTTGCGGGCACAATAAGAATAGCAAATATTTAGCAAGAGGAATTCTTCCAAATTGCTTCTTCTGTTTTAGTGAACATAAAAATTGTGTTTGTTCTAGCTAAAGTAATTGTCATCTGTCCGTTTGCACTATTTATGGATGTCTGCTTCTTCTGAATAATTTCCAGTGTGTAAAAATGGCACTAACAAAGGATTTTCTAATTTGAAAAGCGTTAAGCCTGCACATCTAGAAGAATAAGGAGTGAATAACTTGGTGCTAGAATGGATTGTTTTATTGCAGATTTGCAGGTGGGGAATCACATTTTAAACTGCTCCTGAAGTGAAAACATGCTCAGCCAGTATAAACTATCACAGCAGGGAACAGGCTAGGCCAGAACCATTCCTCTTGCCATTATAGTGTTTTACTTGCAGGGAGTTTTGGGTCCATCTGCACTATACTTTGAAAGCAGTATTCAGTATTCAAGTACTAACCTTACTTTTATTCTCCAAGATGACACTAGTGCGATAGACCAGGAGCTGCTAACACAGTAGCTGCAGGCATCTGCAATGGCCTTCATTAGCGCCTCTAGGCCCAGAACTTCATATATATAGATATGTAATTCCCTAGCTGTCTTAGAAAGAATGTTTAGAAATAAAAAGTTCAGGAAACTGTCTAAGCCAGCTGGACTACAGACCCTCCAATTTGCAGCTATAGTGCTGCAAATAAAACATATTAAGTGTGTTTTAAGTGCAATATACAATGTGACACTAGATGGTGATGGTGAGCCTTATGGAAAAAGCATTTTCAGAACAGTTTTTATATGTGTGTAGATTCCACCCAAGAGTCCCTATTTGCCAGGGATGTCCCTGATTTAGACAAGCCGTCCTGGTTTCTGATTTGATCCCCGAATGTCCTACTTTTCCTTAGGATGTCCCTATTTTCATTAGAGAAATGTTGGAGGATATGGAGTTATCTGACCCCTGAGCTGTCTGAAGGCAATCCTATATAGGGAAGTTTTTTTTTTAAAAAAAGTTTAATGTTTTATTATGTTTTTGAGTGAAGTAAGAGCTGTGATTGATAGGTGAGTCGTTTGGACACTAAGCAACAGGAATCCCTAGGGTCCTGAAGAATTTCCACTTCCCCATCCCCTCTGGTGCACTGCTCCTGCTTCAGTCTTACTTTCTACTGCTTAGAGCAGGCATAGGCAAACTCAGCCCTCCAGATGTTTTGGGACTACAACTCCCACCATCCCTAGCTAACAGAACCAGTGGTCAGGTGTTAAATGTTTGGGAAAAGTCAGAAACCCAAGGCAGTATAAGTTCCTCAACTACGTTTATTTAACATTTGTTAGTGACAACAGCTCACTCATAGGAAAACAAGAACCAAACTGACTGGACAACACAATAATAATCCTGAGCATGAACTGACCGTTGACAGTTGACAGTTGAAAGTGCATGCACTTATTTGCCATTAGAATGTTCGTCTACCAATGCTTATACGATTGGTTAGAACACGCCTTGTAACATAAAATGTGTTAAACCCAATACCATCCCTAGCTAACAATACCAGTGGTCAGGGATGATGGGAGTTGTGGTCCCAAAACATCTGGAGGGCCAGGTTTGCCTATACCTGTCTTAGAGCCTCCATAGTTTGCCCTTCCTTTTTTTCTTAGTAACTATGATGCATCTATCCTGTGATGGGTTTGTCTGAGATCAGGTAGTCCCTAGATTTTATTTTCTCCAAATACTACCACACAATAAGTGGGTGTGGATGTTAAAGAATCCCCCTTTCCCCCAAAATAGCAAATGTGAAAACTTTAATGTTGATTCTTGCTCTGGGATTGTGTGGACAATGATGATGAGGTTATAAGTAATTTAGAAAAACAAATAGTATATATTAGCAATAGTTGGGGCATAATACCAATAGCAATAGTTGGGGCATAACTACCTGACATTCAGAATACATCTCAAGGCAGCCCTGTTCAGGGAAGTTTTTAATGTGTAACATTTTAGTGTATTTTTGGTTTTTGTGGAAGCTGCCCAGAGTGGCTGTGGAAACCCAGCCAGATGGGTGGGGTACAAATAATAAATTATTATTATTATTATTATTATTAAGTGTCTGCATACCCTCCAACATTTCTCTGATGAAAATAGGGCTGTCCTAAGGAAAAGTGGGACATTCCAGGATCAAATCTGAAACTGGGAAGAGCTTCTGTAAATCCAGGACTGTCCCTGGAAAATAGGGAGACTTGGAGGGTCTGTGTCTGCCACTATGGAAGGGATTGCTGTGTCTCAACCACTGCTGACAGATATCTTCTGATTCTACTACCTTTGCAGAATGATTTTGAGATTACCAGATTGTAATGTATACAGAACAAAAGAAGCAATTATTTGCAAAGTGCTGTTTCAGAGCAGTGATTTGCTTGCAAGTCCCCCCCTTTCCCATTGCATTTTAAGTGCCTTTGCTTGCCCTAATGTATAATGCCCTATCAAGGGTTTCAAGTAGGTCCTTTATCCTCTATCTATCATCTATATATATATATATATAGAGAGAGAGAGAGAGTGTGAAGCACAGAGTCATCAAAGGTATATCATTGATATGGGACATGGGTGACACTGTGGTCTAAACCATTGCGCCTCTTGGGCTTGCTGATCAGAAGGTTGGCGGTTTGAATCTGCTCAACGGGATGAGCTCCCATTCCTCTGTCCCAGCTCCTGCCAACCTAGCAGTTCGAAAGCACACCAGTGTGAGTAGATAAATAGATATTGCTGCAGCAGGAAGGTAAACGGCACTTCCATGCGCTCTAGCACTTGTCATGATGTCCCGTTGCACCAGAAGCGGTTTAATCATACTGGCAACATGACCTGGAAAGCTTTCTGTGGACAAATGCCAGCTCCCTCGGCCTGAAAGTGAGATGAGCACCACACCCCATAGTCTCCTTTGACTGGACTTAACTGTTTAGGGGTCCTTTACCTTTTCCCTTTACCTTTTACCATTGATATGCAGTGATGGTGAGAGATGAGGAAAAGAACTCCAGTATCAAGTAGCTTTGGTTTCTATGCGGGCTTGAGGTGGTGGTTTGTCTTAAATTTAATGTGCCTTCGAAGTTGGCAGTCATTTGTGTGCTTATCTCCCAATATCTTATGTATCTAAAATTGGATTTTTGAGTACAAAGCTGACATGTTATGTATAGTTGCATATAAAATATTCATTCTCAAACTCTTGCTGACACAATGCTTTCATTCTCCATGGGTCTTGTGGAATGTGGTCTCAGATATTGTGGCAGATTAGAAATCAGCCTGCCTCAACCGTTGTGTCCTTTACTTCAAGGTCTCCCAGGGCATCTACCCATGTGATAAGGCATGAGAGACCAGTTTTCAGGACGGAATCCATGCATGACACAGCCTGCCTAAACCAGAGGGCAAGGACTGAAAGATTAGTAATATGCGGGAAGATGAAACATTAATTTGATGGAAAGGGCAATCAGAGAAACCAAACTGTGAATTGATCTGTTTATAGTTGACTAGAACGGGGGGGGGGGGGGGGAGAGAAAAGAAAAAAGGTGGGCGCTGATGAAAGACCATGCTTTTCAGAGTGAACTGCTTTTGAAATGAATGTCAGCTCCTTGATTCGTATTGAGAGGTATCCAGAAATCCTTTACTCGGGAGCCTGATCAGGTGTGGCAGCTTCTGCAACAAGCAGCTATGAAGAAGAAACCGCTGACAAGAGTGTGTCTGCGATGGTCATTTATGCTAAGAGTCAAAGTGGATGTCCTCATCAATGAGCAGATGACATGTTAAATAAGTGCTAGGGTCGAATGACTGGCAGGCAGGAAACAGGGCATGAACGCGATTCCAGATTGCTAGTTTCTAAATTCAGTCCAGCTTCTTTCAAGCTTCTATAGCCAACACTTATTAAGCACTATGCTGGAGCAGTAGTGGGTTTATTCTATGGGCGTAAAAGCAAGGACAAGGCAAACAGACATGGCACTTCTCTGCCAAGGCGGAGAACGCAGAATGACACCAGCACTTCCTTCTTCCTCAGCATCCTCCAAAAACCCAGAGAGGTTGTCTCCCCTCCCCTGTCCCACAAAAACTGCCCAGGCAATGCATACCCTCCAACATTTCTCTGGGCAGCTTCCAACGCATATAAAACATAATAAAACATTAAACATTTAAAAACTTCCCTATACAGGGCTGCCTTCAGATGTCTGCTAAAGGTTGTATAGTTACTTATCTCCTTGGACAAATGGCCTGTTTCCTGTGTCTTACTTATTTACTATGTCAGCTGGCTACTTTTTTAAAAAATTGTTTCAAAGCTTTTAATTATGACTTGGGGGGAACTTTGGCCCTGTCCTATAGCATAACAATATCTAAGTATATAAGATAAATATATTTCCTTAAAAGCAAATTTGATTATAAAAAATTCACAAATCAGTCAATGGATATTACAAGTTTAGGGCAGATATATTGGGAAGAAACATATAATGTCCATTCTAAATATATTCTGTGAATATATATTTGAGCGAGAATGATATAAAATGTACAGTATAGGCTATAAATTCTAGAACAGGTGTAGCTGGTGTAAATATATTTCCTTATCTCACTGATTGGATTTTGCACCTCCCTGCAAGATTTCTGTGTAGCAGGAGAGAGAAAGAGGTTATGTGTACAGATGGTTAACTGCTGAAATGCCCAGAAGGTTCAACTCATCTGCGCTTGTGAAGATGAGGAGAATTTTCCACTGACTAATTCGCAGGTGTTTTGAAATCTCTGGATTACATTCAGGTTTTGCTGTTCTGTTTTGTTTGATCAAATGCCTTAGGTTAGATGTTGAAAATGTGAATATTTTATTCTTATTATTATTATGTCCAAGTGGTTATAAGAGCATCAGTACTGCTCTCTAGAGAAAAACGGGGTGCAGAGAAACCTTTTGGCATTTGGACCTCACAGCCATTACAAACTGATGCCTTGGGCTTCCACTGTCCCTGGGCTGCCTCTCCTTTTGCATGACACATTGCATCGCCTCAGGTCAACGACTTAGAGCTCGCCTGCCCATCGTCATCATGGTCATAATTTGGCAAGCAATAATAATTATTTTCCGCCTTATGCTAGGCCTTTCTCTTGCTCTGTCCTGCGCTCTTTTTAGCCTACAACCAGAATGGCAGCAAAAACGAGCAGGTGTTTAGGAAGCTTGGCTGCTGAAAAGCGATGCGCAAGTGTCACTCTCCACTAGAGTAGGCTGTGTTGGCACTGCACTCTGGCTGCTATCCGTCGACAGTGAGCAGGAAGAGGTAACACAATGCTTCTTTTAATAACAAGTTTAATAGTGAGCTGGATGAGTAAAATTAAGGGCTACACTCAACAGCACGGCACAATTATGGGCTTATGCAGATGATGGGTGAATCTGTATCTCAGGTTATTATCCTATGCATGCTTACATGAGATAAATCCCTGTTTAACTCAGTGGTACTTATTCTGAGTAGCCATGCAAAGGTACAATACTGTAGAACGTCGTCTACCTACAGTGTGTGTGTATGTAGATACACCTGTGTTAAGGTTTACACATTATTAAAATCTAGGTAGATGTATACTGAAGAAGCGGGGTGTGTGTGTGTGTGTGTGCGTGCACGCACAGTCTTTCTAGAACTAAATAAGAACCAACCCAGTTGAGAAATGTTAATTTGGTTTTCACGTAGAAGCACAACCATGGTTTTATATCTTCATATAACTAGGGGCGGAGGAAGGGGGGAGGTGGAGGTGGGGGTGGAGCGCCCTGGGTGTATTCACTGAGGGGGGTTACATTCGGCACACTGCCCACCCACGACTCCCAAGCCTACCCTAAGCCATCGGGGGAAGGGAGGGAGCTGCACCACTTTGCCGGGGGCATTCCCCGTTTCCCGCTTCATTTTGACAGCTTGGGGGAGGCTTGGGAGTCATGGGCAAGTGGCATGCCAAATGTCCACCATTGACGACTTGCTCCACTCCCATGGGTGACTCACTCTGCCTCCGGCTACAGGGCGCTCACACTGCTCCGTGCGCCCAAGTGGCACCTGAGAGAGCACCCTCCACACCCCGCGCGCCTCAAGAGCACACCTGCCTTGGGCAGCGCAGGCATATGCTCTGCTGCATATGACATCTTCGTGTCTGGAATTTTATAAAAAGCTTTTCATCAAAACATTTAAATTAGCGCTCCTCCACTGGAAGAGTACAGTGGTACCTCGGGTTAAGGACTTAATTCGTTCCGGAGGTCCATACTTAACCTGAAACTGTTCTTAACCTGAAGCACCACTTTAGCTAATGGGGCCTCCTGCTGCCATTGCGCCGCCAGAGCCCGATTTCTGTTCTCATCCTGAAGCACTATTTCTGGGTTAGCGGAGTCTGTAACCTGAAGCGTATGTAACCCGAAGTACCACTGTACAGTGGATGAATTCTTAACTTTCAAAAAATTGTTTCGCATAACAATTACTAACAAAATTTGCTGCTTTTTTGTCTTTCTTTTTAAACATAAGATCACCAGATGTATAGGATTGTCTATCCTATACATTTCTACTCAGAATTAATTTTAATTGGGTGTTCCAAACATAGAAGCATAGAAGCATAGAATTGCAATGCAGGAATCTCAACTAAAGTATCCATGGCAGATGGCCATTCAACCTCTACTTTGAAACCTCCAAGGAAGGCGAGTCATCTGAACATGGTTTGCTATGGGAATGTGGTATACAAATAAACAGTGAGGATACTGAGAACATACACATATGCTAATAATGACTAAAATAAGGCCCATTGATTTCAATGGGTCTACTCAGAGTATGAGGCACTTGGATGCCACCCATAACTTTCAGTGGGTATTTATTCATTCATTGCGCACTTACTCAGCCCAATTACCAACACTTCACAGTACAGTGGTACCGCTAGTTCAAACTTAATTTGTTCCGGAGGCCCGTTCTTAATCTGAAATTGTTCTTAACTAGAGGCATGCTTTTGCTAATGGGGCCTCTTTCTGTTCTCATCCTGGGGCAAAGTTCTCAACTTGAGGTAATTCTTCCAGGTTAGCGGAGTTTGTAACCTGAGGCGTTTGTAACTCAAGGTACCACTGTATAAGATAAAGAGAAGGAGGCTCTGGGGCTCTGTGGGGGTGGGGCAGTGGACTCCCAGATGGGAAGTTGGGGTTATATAAGAATGAGGTTGGGGCCCTCTGGAAAAGAGGCATTGGTAACACAGAAAAGTATCCTGGTCAATGTCAGTTTCACAGATTATAAGACAGTTGGAGGCAGGACCATGCATGGAAATGCTTTTAGGAATCTCTCTTTTAATTGTCATGTTTCATTGTTAGAAATGGAAGCTGGGCCCAAAGCCTAATGAACAGGGGTTCCTGTGTGGAAAGTGAACTGGGAAGGGGCTGCAACTGCTTTGGGGATTCCGCTTTCCCATTCTTGTGCAAATGGTGAGGACAGAGGTCCCCTTCAGTTTCTCATGAACGCAGCATCAAACAACTCCGAGCTTCTCAAAACAGCAGCAGCAGAATCTTATTTCAGCAAAGAAGGGGGACAAATAATGAAAAACAGCTTCCGAAAGGTTGCTCGGCAGTGTGAGAACTTGGCCCTGCAGTTCACAGCATTCCAGTAAACAGAGTGCCAGAAAAATAATAATTGGGATATACTGAGCTGAGGTAATGCTGGCAAGAAGCTACGAAAGCCTAACAAAAGACCTCTCCCCCTCCCCACCCGCCTGCAAAGAACTGCTCTTCATTGCTCCTTGTGTTTTCCTGTCAGAAGAGGCTGTGGGGCTTGTTTCCTGGCAACGTGCCCCAGCTCCTTCGCTCCGCTGAGACCCATCTACCCCTAGGGGGAGCCCATCGGCTGTCAGCCTCCAGCAAGAACCTGTGTTTAACTAGCTCCTTCTGGGATGCAGGCGAGCTTTCTGAGAGCACAATTAGAGCATCTGTCAGGAGCAGCAGAACCAGTGCGAGGTGGTGAAAGGTTTTGGTGGCTGCTGGAGTCTTTTAGAGCTAAATCATTGGGAAGTGCATAGAGGCCAGTTTGGATGACCTGTCCCTCTTCCTCACCTATCTTTTTTTTATTTTAAAGGGAAGGGGGAGTTGTGTAAAAACCCACGCGATAAATCTTTCCTGCCTGTCAGAGATTTCAAGTAAACAAAATAATAGTTCTCAGGAGAGGTTTATGCTAAAACATAGAAATTTCCTCCCCTTTTAAGTCTGCGGGTGTTTATTGTTTTTTCAATGTACGTTAGCCAACGCTGCACTTTTTCTTTTTAACAAAAAAACATCTGAGAGATTCTATAGGCAACTTACAGCCTAAATTTCTGCAACCAGCTTCCCAAGCCTCCACTGATTCTCCATTTCTCCCCCCACTTTTCTTTGGATCATGTGTTCACCAGCGGGTACTGTGACCAGTGTCGACCTTTTACCTTTGAGAGTTTTGTAAAAGAAGGAATATACAGGTGCAGATTACAATGCTGCCATCAACAGAGGTGAACTTTCTGAAATTCCCTCTTCTGCAGCCCTGGCCTGCATTGCATCTGGTCACTGTGCATACATCACTGTCCAGCCAGCCAGATTTGCATTGCCGCAGAAGCACAGACACATAGAACAGGTGATAACTCCCCAAATTGCCCAGCCTACAATTTAACTGAGTTACATTTCTATGATTGAACAACAGAGAAGGGGGGCATAGCATAGAAGAGGAAAGAAGTGCTTTCCTCGAACAAAACAAGAATCCTCCATCTAGGATGCACTACATTTATTTCAGGATTTATAAATTGCTTCCCAACATATGTTTTCAAAGTGGTATACAAGAGAACTACTTATATATAACATATATAATAAAAATGAACTATACATAACAATCTAAAAAAATATTCGAAGCATCAAATTACAAAATTCTACATAGCATACAATATAAAATGGCTGAGTCACTCTTCGGGGAAAGCTCTCTTAGATAATTTATCAACAGCTGCCTAATGCTGGGTGCTTGTTGAAGTTCAGTTGGAATCTGAGTCCACAGATCAGCTATATGCATGTAAGAGGCAGGGCCGGTCCACCCATGAGGTGGGGTGAAACAGTTGCCTCAGGCGGTGGGAACCCCCAAAGTGGCACCTCCATGAGCACCCCACCCACCCTGCCACCTCCACCAGTGTCAGAGAAATGGGGCCAGCATTGGCGCCAATTTCCGACAAGTTCTTTTTTCTCCTTTTCCTTTTTATTAAAGATTTCCTTGATTTACAAAAGTGTGTGCAATGTCTCTCTCTCTTGTATCCCCCTCCCCCATCTAACATTTTTACAAATCAGTTTCATTTGTTGAGACATTAGGAAGAAAAGGGGGAAAGAGGTGGAGAGTGGGGAAAGATGGGTGGGGGTGGGGTCGGGTGGTGATGTTTCTATTTTACTTACTATATGTAGGGTTTGGTGTCAGTGTTGCTTGTGCGGGTTCTTTGCTGTTCACTTGTATTCCTTTGGTGGTGAGAGAGGTTGGGGTTGGCCTATGGCGTGGTTATTCATTTGTGGTTGGCTGTGGTGGTCTTTGTTTTCATGTGTGAGTGGGGTGGGTGGGTGTTTTGGATCAGGTTAGCCATATTGATTTGTATGCTGTTGGTGGATTTTTGTCGTTGTCTTGTTGGGCTGTGTATGTGATAAAGGGGAGCCATACCGGGGTGAAGCTGTCTTCTTCTATTTGTCCCCATGTCAGTTTCAGTTTATTGGTTAATTTTTCTAGTAGGGCTGTTTCCCATACTATTTGGTACCATTGGTCCATGCTTACTCCTGACAGGTCTCTCCAGTGTCTGGCTATGATGCTTCTGGCTGCTGAATATAGGTGGGTTATGAGTTCCTTGTGGTGTAATTGGGCATTTCTGGCAAATTCTCAATGGCAGAGCAGTGGTAGCAGGGTGGCACTTCTCATTTCACCTCAGGGATGTGCCAGCCCTGTGAACAGGGCCTTATGCTAGAGCTGGATGTGCTGGGTTGCTCTTGAAGAAGGATTTTTAAACAAAGAAGCATTGGGCTCTGTCAGTTCAGATCAATAAACTTGGAGGAATTCAATGTAACTCCCAACCCTCCAGAGTGGATTTAGAAGAGGCACAGGGGCACACAGGTAAAGGAGAGGGGGAGAGAGCCCTGTGGCATTAGCGGGAATCATAGCTCTGGCTTCCACTATCAGAATGGGTCGTTGAATCCACCTCACTGTATCTTGGCATTCATTAAGGCCTTGTGAGGTTTTTTCTTCTATTCAAAACACCTGCTTTAAGTGTTTGTTGTGGGGGAGGAAGGGAAAGGAGATTGTTAGCTGCTTTGAGACTCCTTAGGGTAGTGATAAAGCAGGATATCAAATCCAAACTCCTCCTCCTTCTCCTCTTCTTCTTCCTTTAGGCATTCACCTCCACGACTTGGTTGCAATGCATGCACAAGGTTGTACCTTTGTACTTGTGTTAATTTATCCAGCATGGTTAACTCTCTATAGTTCAGCACCCACAATTATTAAATGGAAAGCTTACGTCAGCTGCAACTGTGCAGTAGGAGAGCCAAGGTCATCATTTAAGTAACCTATTGCATTTCCAATCAGATATATTAATCAGACCGAAATATGAAGCAAAGTGCTAAAAGTCACCAAGCATTTCAATGGCAGAGTTTCAGCAAGAGGCCTTATTTTGCCTCCTGGCTGTGTTTCCTTAAGATTCAGTTATGTATGTTACATATAAGTTTACTTGTAATGCTGATATATAAAATGGGTAGTGATTTATGATCTTCATAATATATTACCCTCGGCTGCTGCCAAATACCACAAAAATTTCCTAACACAGTAATTTGATTAGTAGCTGATTTGACAATTCAAAACACAAGCAGATACTATATAAACATTGGGCAACTGAACAATAAGGTGTGCACAGTGGCCCCCAGTTTGGCTGGAATACTAGCCTGTGGATGATTTCCCCAATACTGAAATGCTTTAGTCTTCAGTGAGGGGAACTGATGTAATACCTTGTGAAGTTTGCCAGAGAGCTGTCAGGCTGGACTGAATTTGTGATCCAGAGTATATATTGGCACATAAAAAGGCATGAGATCAAAATGCTACAGCGCATAGAATAGTTTCAATGTTCTGAAGTAAACTCATTCATGATGCTTAAGGGGCAGTTTATCCAGTAACCAAACAACACATATAACATTTTCTCAGAAATTATTTACTTTTGTAACCACTTTGGAATCTTGCTTTTCCAAGAAAGGATGAGTACGTAGTTGTATGCTACAATGTGATTCTATTACCAATAATAAATATTAACTAGAATCTATGTTCTTCTACTTGCCAGACATATTTACTATCTGGGAAGGCAATGCTACGGGTTGACAATATTTTGTAGGAACTTTAATCTCTTTCACTATGTAAAAAACAAAACAAAACACCAAACACCTCCAAACCAAATGGCTTACAATGAAAAAAAGTGTCTACAGTGAAAGAAAAGGCCCATGGGATGCAGATGTTGGGAGCAGATGCCGCAGTGTGGAAGGGCCTTGCTGCGTAGAATGAAAAAATGGAGAAATACTTAAGCACTGGTGAGAGTGAGTGTACATCCTTCACACAAACAAAGGCAATCTTGTGTAAAGACAGAAGCTTTAATATAGGGGTAGCCAAAGTGCTGCCCTCTGCTTTGTTGGACTACATATCCCATGATGATCACTGTTCATGTCCGCCAAGACAGATTGTTGCTGTAGTCCACCAATGCCTGCAGTGCACCATGTTGGCTACCCCTCATTTAACATAGCAGGTTTCAAAAATCTAGAAAGTTATTAAGGTAAGTAATTGAATGACTGCAAGGGCTCAGTCTGCAGGATGCAAAGGTAGCCTTTTTTTTAAAAGGGACATATAAAAAAAGGTAAATTGATGAAGATTTACAGGTGCAAGTCCTGGGGGAAAAAGTATATCAGATATAGCTGGCTTGACAACCCCATTTAGAGAGCAACCCAACAGGGAAACTATGGCATTGTGAATAAAAGCCTTCAGAAACACTAAAAGCAGCACTCACAGGCAGAGATGAAAAAGCTCTAAATTGCTATGATATGTCACAGCCTGTCAATGTATTAATAGATGCTTCTAAATCAGGCTTGGGAGTGGGGCATAAAAACTTCAACGGAGCCAAAATAAAATTCTGCTCAAAAAGAAAAGAAAGATTAAGTACGGAATATTCACTAGTGTGTAGTAGGGTGCTGAGACAACGCAGATCACAAACATCTGGTGTTGCTGTTGCTTTGTAACAAAACAATTCACTAATGACATTTGGGGAAAGAGAAATGAAGGGACTCTTGGAGAATACACTTCTGTTGTGGAAAATCTAAACTGGCAATGGGAAGTACAGCTCCTTGGCTCCTCGGACTTTGGCCTCCATTAGCTGCATGTACATGCTGTGTGCCTTCTTCATAAATATGCAGCAAGGCCAACCGGTGTGAATCAGAGGGAAGGCACATGTGCCATTCAGGCTATCAGGTAAAGTTTCCTGGGGCAAAAAGCAAGAAACAGGTATTCTCCCCTGCTTGCTGCCAGTCACAAATGTTACTGGAGTGGTTTTGGAAAGCAGCTGTCGGGAAGAGATCCTACAAATGATCTAAAACAAGGCCAAGTCGGAATTTGGTCATGATAATTGAAAAGGTTTAGTTTGTAGTAAGAGGAAATAAATAAAGCAGCTGTTTTCTAGCAGCAGATTCAACAGACTGAAAAGAGCTTTCCATGTAAGTGAAGTTCCTCCAACCATTACTATCAAGTTTACTCTCAAAGAAAGGAAACCTATTGGCTGCAACTCCCAGAAAATATTTATCCTTCCAATTCCTATTGGTTTACCTTTGGGCTTATCAGCTCTTACCTTTCCTCTGCTCTTTCCAGGCATGATATGTGCTTTAAAGCTCTGTGTCCTAGCACTCGTTTCTTTTGCTCCAGAGCTTTCCATGCAAAACCCCACTCTTTAAGCTCAGTTAGAGCAAACAGCAATCTGTGGAGAACCCCAAATTGATGTTTGCTCTGACTGAGCACTAGAGAGTGGGTTTTCATGAGAAAAGATCCACACTCAGACATAGAGCTTTTAAGTGTGGACCTGTGCTTGGAAAGAGTGGGGCAAAAGCTAAGTGTGGATAAGCCCTTAGTTTTAGGTATCACCCTTAATCCCTCTTTGTGACATTGTAATTACAGATCATTAAGAAGCATTTTAAAAGTGGCAGTGAGAAACTCGGATTTGCCTATCCAGTAAATGGAAAGGAAGTAGGGGTTCTCTCCCCCCCCTTCCCTCTCTTTTTTTCTCAGGCGGCCTGAATGTGTCGCTAACTAGCAATTTGGCAGCAGACTTTAGCAAATAGCTGCACACTAAATGGGTTTATCCTTAAACATAATGCTCTTTTCCATTTTAACTGAGCATAAAATTGTATCTTTAAAGGATCTTCAGGCAGGGAAGCTTGATGCCTCTTGAGTAGTTCAGTGTGACATATGGTCCGTCTTCCCAAGCAACGGTTTTATCTGCCACATATAGTTTCTGCAAATTTGAGCTAATGTTGCTGGGAAAACAAGAAGGGATTTATGCCCAAAAACTAAAGAAGGGAATAAAAATAATCTTTCCTCTACATACCTCATGTACTTACCAAAGCATATTGGCCGTGTTCCAAGGGACATGGAACTCTGTTCTAGCAAGGACTTTGCCATCGTCAGGGAATGTTCCATCAGCACAAATCTTCCTAAGTAACAGGATAATTTCCCATATGTAGATGCTTCCATCACCTTTTTGCACTCTATAAGTCAGAGCTTTGTACAGGTTTGTTTGTTTGTTTGTTTGTTTGTTTAAACTGGCTCAATCCATTCTTTTCTAGATGCTCACTTCTCTATAGGACACCTTAGGCACCTTAAGATCATCCCAGGAATCTGACCATGTGGACAGGACTGGAATTATTGCTCTGGCCCTACCGCATGTTAGCTTTGTGGGATGGCAGGACCATTGGGCCTTTACCTAATGGCAGAAGCACTAAAATGCACTTGACACTTACCTCTTCTCTCATCCCTTGATGATGCCGCCTCTGAATTTTTCGCATTGAAAAATACTTTGTTTTTGAAGTGATGCTAGTTGATTTGAAAACTCTAGAGATGTGGTCTGGAGTTAGGGATGAGCAGGAATGTGGCCAAGTTGGTGGGTTAAGCCAAAGATTCTACAAGAGGATAAGGTTGCATGTAGCCTGACAAGGATCTCGTGAAACCGAGTGAACAGGAAACAAAATGGGAAATGTGGTTCAATGTAAGTAAGTGTAAATTGGGGCACTGATGGGATCTGAGATGGTGGTGACTGATGAGGAAAGAGATCATGGTGTCACAGTTGGTAGATCAGGGAAAACATCAATTCAGGGCTTGGCCACCATGGAGAAGAGGATGCTTACATAGTCCCTCCCCTGAACCATCAAGGCTCTTCTCTTGTTTTCTGTCTGTGATGTTTGATCAGTGATGGCTCCTTCACATATGTCCTACATTATTTGGACTTGCAGACATCAAATAGTGAGCATATGACATATGGATGTCTGCATGAGATTTTGGGATCCAAACTCTAAATATGACACACACACACACACACACACACACACACACACACACCCTATTGTGTTCATTTTATTTTGTAAATTTTAGCATTCAAAGTCAACTGCACTAAAATACCAACTAATAATAATAATAATACCTTTATTACAATTCATCATGCTTTCTCAACCCTTTTCTGCCTTAAGTAGTGACCCATTTGAGTTGAATTAGAGAGACAGAAGGGGAAATGCTTTCTGCAAATCTTTTCCTTCTCTTTACCTCTTCAGTCGGTTGTGCTTTGTTCGTAGATAATTTATTTAAGGAACAGATGAAGGCAAATTCAGTTCTAGCTGCTTTTAACAAGGAGCAAGCTTTGACAATTTGAATGAGAGTGATTTTTGAGGGGGGGGGAGGCAAAAGATTATTTTTTTTTAGTTTTCAACAAAGATAAAGTAAAATCTACCTCTGTCAGGCTACTGTTCTTCAGTCAGCCACATGGTAAGTAAGTCTGAAATGAAAGAAGAAACCGTATTTTTAAACACTGGAATAGGCATGTGAAAACATCTGCTTTTATTATACATGTATGAATTTTCTCTAGTTATTTCCACAACTAATCCACTAAAAAGTGGCACCGAACATTCAGGGCACTTAGACTGCATCTTATATCACCCCCCCCCCCCCCACATACAATGGGGTTATGAGTAAACACATACTGGAATGCACTTCATAAAAAACATACCAAAAACAGCAGATTTCCATAATTGGTATTTTGCACATGTTCAGCAGTTTTCTAGCTAATGCACAAAACACTCATGGGTTTTCTATTGTGACAGGCTATGTCCTGTTCCAACAGATGACTGGCTTGCCTTTGAGCAAAGTGCTGAGCTGATGTCAGTAGTGGTCAGAGTATTGGGGCAGCAGTACTTACCTGACTTTTCATCACCCCTCTTGCTGTGCCTTTCCAGGAGAGGGAGTACAAGGAGTTTGGTGCAGTACAGATGCACTGGCAAGAGCTCCAGATTGGCTGCTGCACACTGACTGCTACTGGCTGTTGTATATATTTGGGTGGAACTGACTTAATTACACAAAAGCTCACACTATATCACCGGTTTTTTCCTTTTCTTGGCAGATCCCTGATTATAGCTAGAAAGTGTGTGGCTGTATTCAGAACACTTATGTACAAATTTGTGGTTTTCCTGGCCAAAAATTAAAATCATGGATATTCATTTACTTGACACAATCAGAAACTCGGGGCATTCCTCCATAATAAAAACTCAGACATTATTCTTAGCACTGTCAGCACAGATGCAGTACTAGTAACAGGTTATTCTGTCTCAAAAAATGGGTGTGCTAGCAGGACACATCTGCCCTCAGTTGCTGGAGAGCTAAATACAAATATGACAAAAACTACATCAGGGGTGGGGAACCTGCTGGGAAGGGCTCTAGCTCAGTGGTGGCATCTTCAGGATGCGCTGGGAGAGAACAATGTGGGATGTGAAACACAAGAGCAGTCAAGTACAACATTCCTAGAGTGAACATGTTTACACATGGGGAGGAATGTTTGTCCTGCCAGCAGGTAAACTTCCTGTTTCCTTCTGGGCTGGGACAGACTTCCTCTGCACGTGACTAGAGGTGGGGGTGGCCTCACCTGTGCAGGTAACGACAAAAGCACAGGGCAGGGCAGCCATCTCTCTCTTTGACTACATGCATTGAAGAAGCAACATCTGCTTAGCCAAAGATGCTCTCTTGGCTTCCAGCTTCCAGCCAAGAGAGGACAGAGGGACTGTCTCCTTATGAGATAGTTTCCAGGTATATGTAACTTTTCTAAGCTATGTCTGTCTTCTGGGATCAAATTGTGAACAGAATATGAGTAAACTCTTTTTATACTTTTATAGAAGACTGTGTCGTGTCTTATCTTCTATGAGGGAATAAGGGGAAAATACCAGAACAGTTATTATAGAGGCTTTAGCGAGCCTGAGCAAGCGCATCCATTGCAAGTTTAAAAATGGGAATGTTACTCTGCTAAATTGTGAACTTGTTTACACAAGTTGGAAAGCTATAATTCAACAATATATCCTCTCCTGCATCCCTGAACATTCCCACAAACCATGCTTGAAACCTCGGAGGACCATTGCCAGTCAGAGGAGACGGTTCTGAGGTAGGTGAACCAGTGATCTGACTTGGTATACATCCGCTTCCTATATTCTTATGAGCTCCAACTCCCATCAACCTCAGCCTGCAGGGTGAGTGATTAGGGGTGGTCAGAGTTGTACTTCAACAACATCTGTCAGACTCCAGGTTCCTCACCCCTGAACAAAACGAGCAAAACAAATAAAAGGCCAAAAAAATTGACATGAAATAAGTTCGTGAAACAATAGCACGTTGCTGTTTCCAAATGCACACCCTAGTTGTAAATGGCTAGATGAGTGATAAATTGAGAAAGCATTCAGTCCATAAATGGCTTCAATAAAGGAACTGTAAAAACAGTCCACGATGCTGCATTTATGAGCAGAGGAATTGTGGTGCTCATCTTTAGTGATGCCACTGGCATTATCCCATTATTTGTGAGAAGATCTATAGTCTTTCTAGAGCACAGCATTTGCAATAGCAGTGTGCTTGCAATCTGATGGAACAGAAGAATAGTGTTTTCCTTGGGATAAAATTTTGCTGATTGAATGATGGGGAAATTCTGCTATTAGCGAGACAACGTATATTTCCTTCAAAGAAGACACCTGCTTCTAGGGCCAGAGGGTGGTGGCAATTCCACATATATTGTGTGAGTACACACACACACACACACACACAAGACTCTATAATTTTCTAGAATGATTGTAGAGTCGTGTGTGTATGTGTGTGTGTGTGTGTTTGGCAGCATATTTTCCACAATTGCAATTGTTAAATTATTAATACAAACTTAACTTTGCAATATTTCAACATACTCCATTGTTTTATATTGGCCATTAACTGCCGAATTAAATTAGCATAGTAAACTACTATGAGGTGTGTCTATTGATGGAAACTACCGTACATAATAAAGGTGCCAGATGCATCTCTGTGGAGACAGAATGGCACAACTTAGGGGCTACCACAGAGAATGCCCACTCCCAGGCTACCACCCACTGGCCCTTACATTGCAATAATCCAGCCTGGAAGCTACCAGAGCACAGAGTTAGACTTGGAATGGAAAACCCTTCAAGTAAAGGGACCGTCCTCTGCGAAGTAGAACACATGGCAACACTACATCGGCTCAGGTTTAGGAATTTTTTAAGATCCCAAAGATATTCTTAGATTGAAAACCCCTCAGGATGACATCTCAAACAACACTCACTTTAAATACCCTTGCACTAGCTTAACGGCCTGACCTAAATTCTGAACACTTGGAGGTGGCAGCGGTAGGATATAACACCCCCTTGCTTGACTAATAGATATGAGAATCAATAATGCCCTCCTGCCATATTTCATGGCCCCTTTCTTGCCATTGTTTCCCAACTCAGTTAGGAGCTTGGTTTCTGTAACACAATGTAAGTGTATCTGCCACACACCATTCTGCTTTGAGCTGTTTTGTTCTAATACTCTTGACATTTAAGCATGGGCACTTTAAAGGGTTTTTGTTTTGTTTTTTGCTTTACTTTACCCCGAACGTTATTGATTGCCTCTAGCTTTTGTGTTTTCCTGAGTCAATTTTGTTTCATGTTCTCCCTCCTCACCCCCAGCCACCCCATAGCTTAATGCATACCACTCTAGTGACTAACATGGAAACTGCACATATCTTCCTCTCTCACCAGTTCAGAAAAGCAACAGGAGTGACCAACGGCATTGTAAATGATTACAAGAGGTCACTGCTGCATAGACGTAAGGTCATGAGCCTCCATGCACTACAGGAATAATGAATCACAACAGTGGAGCAACTCACAAACCTGGATATTTGAGCACCGGTGTTGCATGAAAGCATTAGCGCTGCAAGATGCAGCAGTGTCGAGATATATTAATAAAAGTGGCAATGAGGAATTTCTTTTGAGCGCTTGGATTCGGTAATGCAGTTGTACTTCCTAATCTCTGTGCTCGGCACAGAGGGTTTGAATAAGCCCAAAGCACACACAGCCACAGAGGAGGCAGCTCTCTGCATGATTCGCTCTTCTTACCTTAAAGTAAGGGTAAAGGTACCCCTCCCCATACGGGCCAGTCGTGTCCGACTCTAGGGTTGCGTGCTCATCTCGCTCAAGAGGCCGGGAGCCGGTGCCGTCCAAAGACACGTCACGTGGCCAGTGTGACAAAGCTGCAACTGGCGAGCCTGCACCAGCGCCGCACATGGAAACGCCGTTTACCTTCCCGCTATAAAGTGGCACCTATTTATCTACTTGCACTTGAGGGTGCTTTTGAACTGCTAGATGGGCAGGAGCTGGGACCAAAAGACGGGAGCTCACCCCGCCGCGGGGATTCAAACCGCCGACCATTCGATCGGCAAGTCCTAGGCACTGAGGTTTTACCCACAGCGCCACCCGCGTCCCTATGCTAGATATAGGTCCTTTTTATTCCATGGCTTTTTTCAGTTGATGAATTTTGCAGGTGTGTGTGTATGTGTGTTTTCCAGAGGGTTTCCCCTCAAGGAGCTACATATCAGCTCCACATTATACACCAGGTTTCTGCCCTAGGAGTGAGGTACAAGAGAATAATTCAGAACGTGGAACCAAAGGCAGTGTTTTACACAAGTTTCTGCTGTGTTATCCTATGCCGAATTCGAGTGGAATGGATTCTGGAAGTGTTAAATGTAAGTAAATCTCTTACTGAATAGCCTGGAGGAGGGAGGGAGGGGAGAGAGGAAAAAACCCACACCATTTGTTTGTGTCCTATTTATTCTCTAATTTTGCTTCAGGAACTGGCCAGCATCTTGTGCTCTTGTGTTTTTGTTTTCAAACTTCCCACGGATGCCTGTCATTGTCAGGTGCTGGTTACTCAGAGGAAGAAGACAGTCACTTGAGATCATTACAGCAAGCAGATCCCCAACTTCATTCTCACACACCAATGGAGTTCTGGGCAACAAAAGGTATCAGTTAAAAGTTCTTTTCGTGTAAAATTTGGAAGAGATTAAAAGAGGGCAAAAGTTCAAATGAGAGCGAACTCACTGCCAAGCAAGTGAAGAATCTTGGCGAAAGGCAGAAGGGAGGGGGGGAAGCCATTGGTTTAAAAAGACAAGTAACCATGGCAAGACAGGAACTCCATGCTAGAATCTGGGTAACAAGTATGGAGCCACACAGAGCAGCAATTGTTTATTCAAGACATGAGGATACAGTTGTCTCCAATGAGTGTTCTCACAGATCAACCCCCCCCCCAAAAAAAACCTTGAGTACATTTTTTAAAGACCATCCAGCACTTCTCCACAACCCATTTGGGGCTGGACAAAAGGGAGAGAAAGTACAAAGTTTATTCTCTGTGTTCCTTGTGCCTTGAAAGGGAGGAGGAACTCTCACACCAGCTGTTAAGCAGGGCATCAGACTCTTCTGCTGCATCCATCAAAGGATGCTGTCATGCTGGTTGTGGAGACACTTGAGGCACTGACTGGTCCATCCCCTGGGCTCAAAGGAACCGGAAGCAGAGGGCAAGATGGAGAGGGAGGGAGAGAGGGTTTCGAATTGCTTTGGAAACGGGTTTTCTGCCACAGTCATCCTTTAGAAAGAAAACAATGGATTGCAGCAGCTAACAGCTGTGGGAATTATGAGGTTAGGCGGGGAATAAAAATAATGGCAAATCTCAAGCAAAGTAATAACTCACTAAAGAGGGTTCTGCAAATATCAGCAACCCACACCCACACACCTGCACGCATTGTACACCTGTTGTCCTACATGCGCAATGAAAGCTCTCTTTGTTCTTGTGTAAATGAAGGAGCATTTTCGCGTACAGCAACACTGACCAAAAGCTATTGACAACACTTGGCATAAGGAGGATTCCCATCAGGTGCCCTAAAATAAAGAGCAGAAGGGAATATTTACTGTCTAATGAAATGCAACTGAAGGAAAGAAAAGGGGAGGTCTACTTACCTAGTTAAAATGAGTCGCTTGGGTTCCATTCCTAAGCCTGGATATTTTCTGATCTCTTAGACATACGGTTATATCTAGAGTGAAAATTTTGAACCATGGACATTCTCCTCTTCTCTGTATTCAGAAGAATGCTGCTTCTGATACTGCATTGCACAGGCTAATGAAACCATTCCACTCCCTGCCCTCACTTACTTTCTCAACATCGCACATAATTTGATGTCCCGCCCCTTATTCACTTTTCCCGCTAAATTAAAAGGCCCACACAGAGGAGTTGCGCTAGCCCCGTGATCATTTTTGTTGGCTTTTTCTGAACCTTTTGGGGCTTGAGGATTTCGTGTACGACCTCCCAATATCCAAACACTGGTAATCGCCCCTCATGCAAGTGCTGATGGAAGCTGTGCATTATTACACTCGTCCCTTGCCGTTTAGGATGGTGACCTTAGTTTCTTCTCCCTGCTCTGCCAAGAAATATCGCTGAATTTATTGGACATTTACTGCCCAGTCTAAAGCACTGGAGCACGCAGCGTGCACACAGAGTTCTATGCGAGCAAGAACAGCAATAGCGTTGACAGGGCTGTATGTACACAGAGCTGTGATGCTGATATACACAACAGGAGTGGACTCTACTTGCACGGAGCTCTGTGCATAGGCTGTGATCCTATGTATTCCTCAGGGCATTGTTTTAACTGCATCTCTTCTTCGCGGACTACTGAGCCAGTAAGATTTTGCTACATTATATATATATATATTTAAAGCATGAAAACTCTCTTTGTAAAAAATGATGCTCTGGCACTCTCCCTCTTCTTCTCTTCCCTTTGCTGAGTTAGCCAAGATATGAGAATAAGAAAGAGATTTGCATGCAACAACCCGAAGTGAGTTGCCTTTCCCACTGATTTCCCTTCTTGCAAACAATCCCTGGTGAGCTGACAGCATAAAATGGGAATATATGATTCCTCATCTGTTTTCTATTTCCATTTTTGCCCGGTTCTCATGGTAGCTTTTCCTCTTGAATTGCCCTCTGTGTTTTAGAGAGGCCTTTCTTATCCTCAGCCATAGCGTCACTGTGCAGACCGTTGTAAAGGGAATCACAACAAGGACACACATTTTGGTTATATGGGAAGCGATGCAAGAGCCTTCCATGGAGCATTTTGTTTGTATTTGTGGAGAAGAGGAGAACAGCTGCAGGAGAAGATGACAAATTTTTATCTTAGGCATATGGACAAAGTAATAATTATGATTCATCTGGAAATTAGAATCTGCAAGAAAGAGCAAAATAGGAAGGGAAAAGATCGTGTGGGGATTTATTTTATTTTTTGCAAGAGATGTCATGTAGATATTTATTCCTCTCTTTCTTCAATGTTTGCTGAGTTTCAGGTACATCCATTAATGAATTGCATATGACTCTTTAAAAAACAATTTTAACAAAACATTATCTTTCTCTATTGGATAGATCTTTGGATGATTTGCATTTTATGGAAAAAGAACAGTTGCAACAGTATTGAGATCTTTCAATTTTAAAATGTTGTTAATATAGATGATGAATAAGTTCACAGATTTCAGGAAAGAAATGTTAAAGCCTACCTTATGCACAAAGTAATTATTGACAGAGTTGTGTCATATAGGTGGATAGGAAGGGAAAACCCACACATCCAACTTCTTCCAAAACCCTTTTAAAAACCTTCTTTTTTTGTAAATAGAGGTTTTTACTGGCTTTGCTGAAGGTGAGCAATTATCTTAGCATGAAGTTCTCATTAATTTTGCTAAATCCAAATATTTTTGCAAGAGAGCTTGTCTCAGAGCTTTAATTCACCCTTTCTAATAATAAGCAGTGATGTGTTTTTGCTGCATGTGAGCCACCTGAGGCTAGAGAAAGCTTTGACATTGCTGCCCCTGCTAGGAGGAAGTGGGGAGCCGTGGGCTGATCTGGTGGTTTTTCTGAAGACTTCCTGCTTCGGCATACATCTGAACCTATTCCTGTGGAAAGATCTGGCACATACATTACCCCAAATTTCATCTTACCAACTGAGCTACCCTAAATAAGTCATTCTTTTGTATATTTTAAAAAAATGCCTATTGCACAACACCTACAGTATAATGTTGCATTTTCTCATATATTTAATCCAGTGGTCTTTGGTGTTTAGCACTTGCTCAGTTACATAAAACTAGATTTTTACGTCAAGACCTTTTCCATTGGCTAAGATGCCTTTATTACTTCCCCAACCCACAATTTCTGTAAGAGAGGGCTAAAGAAGCCATGTTCCTCCAAATGTTGCTGGCTTGCATCTTTCATTATAGGTACCCCTGACCATTAGGTCCAGTCGCGGATGACTCTGGGGTGGCGGCCGAGGGAGCCAGCATTTGTCCACAGACAGTTTTTCTGGGTCATGTGGCCAGCATGACTAAGCCGCTTCTGGCGAACCAGAGCAGTGCACGGAAACACCATTTACCTTCCCGCCAGAGCGGGAAGGTATTTATCTATTTATCTACTTGCACTTTGATGTGCTTTCGAACTGCTAGGTGGTCAGGAGCTGGGACCGAACAACGGGAGCTTACCCTGTCACGGGGATTCGAACCACTGACCTTCTGATTGGCAAGCCCTAGGCTCTGTGGTTTAGACCACAGCGCCACCCTCTTCCCGCATCTTTCATTACCCTTATTTATTTATTTATTTTGTTAGTTTTATCAATAATTACAGCCAACCACAAATGTTCTGAGTTTAAACAGAGCACAATAGTTGTTGGTTTATTTATTTTTAAATGAAGTCAGTTATGTCAATTCGGGTTACATTATGAAACTCCCGCTATTATTGGCCATTGGCTATGCTGGCTGGGACCAATGGAGTCCAGTAACACCTGCAGGGCCACAGTGGTGAGGAACCTCAGGCTTGTTCTGTTCTGGCCACTCACATTCCACTCATTTCCATGAGGCCAACAACTCATGTGCTGCACATGTTGGGCTCCCCAGTAAAGACACTGAAGGTAAATGGGACAACTTTTGCAGGCAAACAAGATCCACAAACACATCGGCCCTCTTCACCTTCATCCAACTGAAGGATTGATTCGCACACATTTTGTTTAATATTCTAACTTTCAATCTTGCAGAGAAAACATTTTTAAAAATAATTCTGGCTGGCTTCTTCATAACCTGATGCCAAAAGGATTAATGACTGGCAAATGTACCCTTGCCAAGAAAATATGCATTTACAGAATCTTTACAAAAATATCGTATTCATGTTGCAGTTATTTATTTCTGCTGGCAACCAGGAGAACATCTGCCAGACTCCAACTGAAGGCCAGAACATTTGCTTGTCCGTTGACATTAGTAGAGTTTGAATTGTTTTTGTTTCTTCTTTTTTTAGTATTCGTTTGTACATGATGCTTCCAGTATTGATCCTGGAGGAAAGGGGCAGATGCTAGGAAATGTCAAACTCTACCAAATCATTCTAAAAATTGAAATGTTGAGCCATTTCCCGAAATGTGATATGCAGGAAGTGAGCTGGCATAGGGGTGTGTGGTGGGCTTTTGACTTAAAGTCAAGGATCAGCTTAGTCATACCCATGTTGTAGTTCTATCTCAGTATTTGTTCCCTCTTGCATAGGAACAATAGAGAGGCACATCATTATGTAATCTAATTGATATCCCTATGGAGCGGCTTATGAAGTAGGCACATTCTCAGCATGCCAGTTTGACTGCCTTGAATTAGTCTTATAGATGTCAGAGTAGTATTTTGCTTTCTGATGCTCACTAAATATGGATAAGGATCTCTGCAACACACACACACACACACACACACACACACACGAAATCTTAGTGTTTCCTTAACAATTCATTTGCAATTATATATTTCTTACACGAACTATTTTCCCAATTGCTTTTTTTAAATGCAATTATTAAATTATTCACCGCCATCGGGTTGGACCGCCATGAGAACAACATGTCCCCCAAGCTAAGTCGCTATTGGACCTTGACATTTGGAAAATGCTTTCCTCTAAATTGTTAGCAAACATATTATGTGCCTGCATTCTTTAGCATTCTCCCATTAATGAGATTATAAAATGCTACTATTCCAGCCCTTTGTGTGATATTGCAGGTTTTCCTCCCTTCCTCCCCTCACCCTGGTCTATTCCAAAGTGGTGATACCAGTAGGGGGTCCTCATTAAAATTCACTGTAATGCATGCATGTTTGCCCCCTTAGCCAATCCATAAATTACAGTACGTACGGATGGGGTGGGGGGCAGGGTGCAACAAAATTCTCTCAATGTTTTTTGCCAGCAATAATCCTGGTTCAGCATTCCAAACTGTTCATACCAGTCCAGAAGTGGTTCTATATACATCGACTGTCTCTAGAGAGATACTGCCGATTCTATTGTTAAAAGTCATGAATGATTATCAAGGAGGAAGATTTTATTTTTAGTTAAGATATCGCTTAGGTTCTACCTTGTGCCATGTCAGAATAATACTTCATATTCATTTACAGGAGCATCTGGCCAAACAATAGATTGAGCATTTGAGTCAAACAATATGTTTGCATCAGGAGATAATATAATGCATTATCACACAAGGCAGAGAGGAGCAATTTATTAGCCTAATGTAAAATACCCTTCAGCTACAGAAAAGAAAAGAAAAAAGGAAAGGAAAGAAAAAGGCATCTTCATTTGTAGATCTGGAAGTGGCAACACCATCATTCCTTGATAAAATGCAAAGGTTTGGGTTGTGACATGGTTCTTTACTTTACCACAGCTATTCTCTCTTTATAAAACCTCTCTTAAAAAATGTGTTGTCAGTCCTCCCTAAAAAAGAAAATGGAAAAGAATGAGAAGTTCAAAGTCAATCCAAGCGCATCTCTAGTGATTCAAAAGGTGAGGTCATTGTGAGCGGAAATGTGAAGGAAAAACTGCCCCAGAATGCAAGTAGGAGTGACCTTTCTTTTGCATTAAATTTGTGATTTGAATGAAAGGACTGCTCAGAATGCCTTAGCAAAGACTTGGGGAAGTGGGGAGAGCAAGAGACTGTACTGGAGAAGACATATTTACGTGTACCTCAGGCATTCCACCCCCCGCCTTTTTTCCACAGGAAGAGCTTGGCCAATATAAGTAAAAAGGGAATAATCACACTCCTCTGACTGCATAAGAATATTTATGGTTTCTTTCCCAAACAAAAAATAAACCAGCATGGAGATAGTGGGGAGGTTGTTTTTTTGGGGGAGGCTATTGTAACATCACACACACTAGATCACTATAGTTTTTGCCTAAAGCAATTTTCATCTGAGGAACACAAGGTGTTTCTGGCTGGGGGGAAAGTGTGGTGGTGGAAATACACACGTGTGCACTCTGTACATGCTCAGAGAAGCTAATCCCACCATATTACCAGGTAGGACCTTAGGCTGGGCAGCAACCCTCCCTCCATCCCCCTCCAACCTCTCCTCAATCCTGCTAGCTGCTCAAGACTCACCCACCACCACCACTGGCTCCAACCTGCACTGTGGCTCTTTAAGGCCCATGCCCCCACCTCTCGTCTCTCTGCCTCCGGCTCCCAGTGGCTCCCTGGCAAATGACATCATTGGACTTCATGGCCAATCTTGGAGTCGGCTGCCATGTTGCAAGAGGCAGAGAGGCAGGATCCATGCGGATCGGATCTGAAGCACCTACATTGGAGAGTCCAGTCCACCACGTAGACAGCAAGTGAGCCGCAGGCCCCATGTGGCTTCCACAATCTCTGGCTGCCGCCACTCTCACTCACTGGCAGGGCAGTGCTGTGAGGCAGAACAAAGCCTTGAAATCAGGACGCCCCAGCAAAATCGGGAGTTGCGGAGTATGTGCCATGTGACCTCTCCTCCAAAGGAAGCCAAACTGGATAGCCCCTTGAACATCTCACTTGTATGAGAAACTGGGGGACGCATAACAATACAGATATAATGCATGTTTCATTATTTGCTCAAACACACCAGTGCTCAAAGAGTGGACATAGGTGGAGGTGCATCATCATCATCATCATCATCATCATCATTTTGTACCCTGTCCATCAGGCTGGGTTGCCCCAGTCACTCTGAGAGACTTCCAACATATATACAGTGGACCCATGGGTTACGTTACCTTCGGGTAACGTTACTTTCAGGCTGCGACCGTGGCAAACCTGGAAGTGTATACATCCAGGTTTCATCATGCACGCATTCGCAGAAGCACTCTGCATGCTACACACATGTGCAGAAGTGCTCTATCATGTTGCTTGCATGTGCAGAAGTGGCACCTCTAGATGTGGAATTTTCATGGTACGTACAGACCTCCGGAACAAATTAAGTTCTTATCTGGAGGGTCCACTGTAAAAACATAACAAAACATTAAATATTCAAAAGCTTCCCTGTACAGGAGTATAGCATCTAGATCAAGGGAAGTAATAGTGCCACTGTATTCTGCTCTGGTCAGACCTCACCTGGAGTACTGTGTCCAGTTCTGGGCACCACAGTTCAAGAAGGACACTGACAAACTGGAACGTGTCCAGAGGAGGGCAACCAAAATGGTCAAAGGCCTGGAAACGATGCCTTATGAGGAACGGCTAAGGGAGCTGGGCATGTTTAGCCTGGAGAAGAGGAGGTTAAGGGGTGATATGATAGCCATGTTCAAATATATAAAAGGATGTCACATAGAGGAGGGAGAAAGGTTGTTTTCTGCTGCTCCAGAGAAGCGGACACGGAGCAATGGATCCAAACTACAAGAAAGAAGATTCCACCTAAACATTAGGAAGAACTTCCTGACAGTAAGAGCTGTTTGACAGTGGAATTTGCTGCCAAGGAGTGTGGTGGAGTCTCCTTCTTTGGAGGTCTTTAAGCAGAGGCTTGACAACCATATGTCAGAAGTGCTCTGATGGTGTTTCCTGCTTGGCAGGGGGTTGGACTCGATGGCCCTTGTGGTCTCTTCCAACTCTATGATTCTATGATTCTAGAGTTGCCTTTAGATGTCGTCTAAAGGTTATAGAGTTGCTCATCTCCTTGATATCTGATGGGTGGGTGTTCCACAGGGTGTGCGCCACTACCAATAATGCCTTCTGCAAGCCATGCTCCCAGTGGCCTCATGCGCATTGCTCCTGCCCAGCTCAGGTGTCAACTGTATTTGTTCTGTGGGAAGGGTTTGCATGAGCTGTCTATTTTTATTTGTAGAGGGTCCAACCTGTATTCCAGTTAAGCCAGGTGGAATCCCCATGCAGACCTTCAACATGCTACACAGAGGACTTGTGAGGCGTGCCCACAAGGACACGGGGGTCTGCATGGATTCCCCTGCTTCCCTCCACACTTTGAGCGTCCGTGTGCTCAAGCTAATGGTCAGGTGGACCATTGCTAAGTTCAGATAAGGGAGGAAGCAGATAATTCCAGCTCTGCTCTCTGTGTTGCTGGCACTGGAGGACTCACAGTCCCTTTAAGTGCCTTCTGCAGGCTTGGTAGGGTGGCCTTGCACTCTGCCCACCAGACAATGGGCACCAGCTGTAATATATGAACCACAGCCAAGGCTTCAGACAACTCTCTAGTCAGCCAAATATTTGATAATCAAGCTGGGCAGCTACATAGGTTGCCTCACTATTAAGGCTGGCGCCTGGTTAAGGACATTCTAGACAATTAATCACATGCATTTTAATCAATTAATTGGCTCAATCTGCATGGGAGTCGTTCTGAAGAAAGGTGGACTGCCTTTGTATTTAGGCTGTTAACAAGCCATTACTGTTTTAAAAAAGAACAGTGACATTTGGCTAGTCTTCTGTGCCCTGAGTTTCAAGCAAACTAAATCGCTCAAATCTGTGGTGCCAAAAGTTCTTTTTTTTGGGGGGGGTGAAGATGGCACATCCTTCCACCCTCTACAGCTGCCAATGCTACTGTGCTTCTTATCTGGGGCAGTTCCTGTCCTCCCAACCTTTACTGCTGCTGGTGGTGCCCTTTCTAGACAGGGCAATTCTCGTCTGCCCACCTTCCACTGCAGGAACAGGGAACCTCAGACCAGATGCCTTTCTCTCTGGCTCACAGAACTCGCTCCCTCTCTTCTAAGGCCGCACCCTGAACGGTCTCGCCTTCATGTCTGTTTCCCCCTGGCTGGGATGTGTCTTTAATACCTCTTCCTTCCCTGGCTGGAGAACAGAGAGGGGTGTGTGACAGAATTAGCCTGCAGTACCAAAGCAAAATTTACATTCATTGTTTTGCCCAGTTTTGCCTGTGATCCCACCCACCACTGCCATGTGGCCCCTGGAAGACTGCCCAGGAGAGAATGCGGCTCTCGAGCTCCCCCACCCCTGCTCTCCTGGTGCCCCTTCCCAGCTGAGCAGCATCTCTAAGATCTCCAGGCTCTGGCACATGGGACTGGACCTTAAGGCCTAGTTACCTGTGACGTTAAAGATGCGATTAGTAATCTTGTTGCAGGTTTAAAAGAAAAAAATGCTGTGGGGGGGCAGTGGCATAGCATATGGAGGGGCAGCAGGCGCTGTTGCCTCAGGCACAAAATTGTTAGGAGCAGCAAAATTTCAACACCTGGTGCTGCCTCAATACAGCTGTACGCTTCTGTTGCTGGGCTTTATTGAAAATGGTTTCTCCATGTGAATCAGGAAGTGGCCTCTCCAGAGAATGGAACTACTCTTCTTTTCTTACCTCTGTGGCTGTGATCTCCTGGGTGATGTAGACACTGTTAGGTAGTTGAATGCAAATGAGTATTTCATCCATTTCCCTCCCTCCCACCCACCCATCTCCTCTGTGTGGCCCTGGGCACTGGCAACCCACGTTATGCCACTGGGTAGTGGTCTTATTCACCTGTGGGGAGAGCAGGTTTAAACCTCCCCTTCTCATCGGTAATCTTGGTAAAAATCAGCCCCATATGGTGATTGGCATTAAGGAAAAAACTCCCATTAGTAGTCTAATTATGGTACAAGAGGACTTTTGACCCGCCTTCCCTGCATGGTGGCAATACTGGCCCCTGTCGAAGTCTCCAATTTAAGTTTTAAAAACCTCCCATGCGACTGCTAATCACATCATTGACTTGACTTCTAGTTATGCCTTGACTTTCCAGGTAATGAATCCTCGGCTCAATTCAGAGCTGGGCTGACCCCTTGGCTGTTTCATAAAGATGTCTAATCCTGTGAACTGGATGAGAATGCTATTGTGCCTCCGAACTGGGGAATGCTGATCCAGTGGAAAGTATGAACGAACAAACCTCTGTAACTGCTCTTGTAAAAGCCAGAAAAGAAGAAAGGAAGGTTGGGTATTGTTGTTGTTGTTGTTTTTTAAAAAATGTTAGAAAACCTTTAAAATAAGTGTCAAGCTAAAACGGTGAGAGTTTGGGAATCCTTTGTAGCCCTGAACAATTTCATCGGAGTGATGTTGGGGAAAACAGGACTCTTTCCTCATTCATCCTCTGTGGCGCCAGCCCTGTGTTTGAGGCAGCAGGGCAGAGATTTCAATGTCAGATGGCCTCAAAAGCAAGTAGCTTTCTTTTCTTTTCTTTTTTTAAAGGTGTCTGGAAAGCTTCGGAACATCTGAAAGAATGAAAAAGAAAGACAAAAAGAAGAGAAGGTGCTTGAATTAAAGCTGCCTTCGGGCATTCGCAAGTTCTGGGTTGGTGGGTTTTACAAGACTACTTACTATGCTATTCAATTAAAAAAAAGAGCAGTTACCATAGCAACACCCACATCTAATGGCTCTTATGCTACCTCCGAGATACAAAGCACCTTCTTACAGCGATGCATTGACCAATACAACACCGTTGTGAAAAGTTTTATGCGCCTAGCAATGTTTTAAAGGCGAAAGATACATGCTCCAACAGCCAGACGTACTTATGTCCCCAGGTTGCAATATCCATTTATAACAAATTGTTTTCATTTCTTTGTTATCTATTTATTTGCTTGCCATTTTCTTTTAAATGGATTTCCTTAAAATGAGCGAGTGCAACTGTTTCTTTAAAGTGGGGAAAGGTTCACTTTGGGGAAACTGATGGAAAAACCCTGGGCAGGTTTCCTCAGAAGTAATTCCCACTGTGTCCAATGTAGGGGTTACAATGCACCCTAGGTGCCACCTGGGGGAGGGGGCAGGGCTCCCCCAAAACCCACAGCAGCTGTGCCCACACACTGCACGGCATGCTCACCTTAATTGCACAGCCTGTGTGGCATGCCTGTGGCATGGCGCATGCCAGCATGTCGTGCAATGTGCACAACTGATACCAGCACGTTGCGTGATGTGCATGCACAACACAAGCACGTCGCACACTGTGCATGCATGATATCGGCACATTGCGTACATGCTGACATCACTCACGCACGTTGCATGGTGCTGGCCCCCTCAGTTGTGGGGGCAAGGCAGCATGCTTGCAATGTAGTAGCCACGATGGGTGTGCTCAAACTGTGGAGGGAGAGCAGTAATGTGCCTGAATAGCAGTTGCAGGAGGGGAGACTGCTCTTGTGCTAAGGTCCTGCTTGAGCGTTTCCCATAGGCAACTGGTTAGCCACTGTGAGAACAGGATCTTGGCCTAAGATGGACCATTGGCCTGATCAGCAGATTCTTCTTATGTGGCTTCCTCCCTAACGCAGCAGATGAGGGGAAGCATTGATGCTCTCCCCGCCCCCTGCCCGATGCTCACCACATGATTGGCTGTTAATCCTGTGGCTGCTACCAGCACCTCCAGTCATCAGCTCACTCACGCACCTAGTAAGGTGCGTCTCTGCTACCCAGTGGTGGAACATATGCCCACACTGCCCAAGACAGGTGCGTTCCCGAGGGAGGCATGGTGCGGAGGGTGCCCTCCCAGGTGCGGGATAGCCGCTCGAATGCTCCGATAGGCAGCGTGAAGCTTCCCTTCACAGCTGAGAGATCCCCGCCTCGCTCCTGCTTGCACCTTGGGATCAGGGCTGCTCCAATAGGCAGCATGAAGCCTCCCTTCACAGCTTAGTTGCTGGGTCAGGGAAGGTGGAAGCAGACCGGAAGCTGCATCTTAGAGCCCCTGCACCACCATCATATGGGGACTTCCAGCGGGGCAAAATGGTGGGTGCCATGGCAGTGAGCAGCTCCTGAAGCCAGCCAGAGCCAACTGCACTACCAGGCTGGCTCCGGGCAGCTGAGACTGCTGCTGCCGCTGCCATGTTTCCCGGGGACCTTAGATGAAATCCGGGGACATTCTAGGTATGGAATTTGTCCAGAGACAGATTTGCAAATCAGGGGACTGTCCCTGGGAAATGGGGACATCTGGTAAGCCTAGGATAAGAGGGTCCTTCCTCAGAATGACTCATTGCACAGGCTCCTGCTAGCACAACTATTTAGTTAAATCTGGTCCATAGGAAAGGAGCCCCGTAATCCTTCCCCTGAACTGGGCCATTTGTGTACAGTTCTATCAAAAACGTTGATAATGCTCGAAACATTTGAACCTGAAAAGCCCAAACAGAAATACAAAGGGGTTGAATGGCATACTTAAAATTCAAGCGCTCGCTAAAATTATCATTTGCATTAATGTATTCTGAAATATGAATTATTAAGTGATTTGCATTGGCACAACAAAAGCCAGTTTAGAGAACCAGGTTTACCCTGAAGCATTTGCCACCCTTTCTTCCCCCTCTATTGTAAACACTGCTAAATATGTAAAGATATTTTCCCCCTAATTGCAAAAATATGTACACAATACCTGCACAGAGAATGCTTTTTAAAAATACTTCTCAAATGATCACATTCAAGTATTTGCTTCTATTCAAATCTTTTCATGGTCTACACTTTCAACACTTTTGTATTTTGTATCCTTTCAACAACAACAAAACCCAGTCACCTCCATTTTGCCGTTTATCTCAGCAATTCCATTTTATCACCCAGTTTTTAAAAAATATGCATTGTTTAGAGGTCAAGGAAATGACCTGCTAGATGGAAGAAAGAACATTATCCCTCTCATTCTTTCTGTCTCTTTCTCTCCCTACTTTTCCTTTTCTGAGAAAGGGAGAGCAGAAAAGAGAGAGATAGTTGGCAGTGGTCTACTCTTCAAAAGTTTACCTTAACCACTATGTTACCTGGGCAGAAGGTAGATCAGGATCTCAGGGTGTTTTTCAGCAGGTGCTCAAAAGTTTTTGATTCTCATTGCTTTAACAATATCAGAAACAAAACAACTTCCCCCGCACAAATTAGGCTGCTGAACTGAAGAAAGCTAACTAGGAATGGTTTTCTGTGTGATAGGTCTGGGAGTTCAGCTCAGTTCTGATACTGAAAACATAACTGTAGGTTCAGCATATACTCAGGTGCACCCCTTTCCTTCATCTTAACATTTGCATCTGGCTCTCTTTGGTCCGTGTTGGCACCTGCCAGTCTCAAGAGACAATGGAGTGCACCTCCACGGGTGAAGTCAAACCGCTGAGTTAGCAGTAGCTATGTGAACTCCCTGGGCTTCCCAGACTACAAGACACACCCCTCTCTTGGCCTCACTGTTGTGGTCCAAAGGAAAGCAGAGCAATACATTTGGCACCAGCTTGGCTGCAGAAGTTGCCGGAAGGAGGCCTACAAAAGGCCATCCAACCATCTTAGGGACTCTGCTCTCGATTTGTGTAAGGTTTGCTTCTTAGCCTTTTCTTTTCCTGAAGATATACTACAAGGCAGTGGAGGCTTAGGATCAGATTTTTCCTTCTCCTACATAGGCTACCATCCGCCCCTCACTTCCCTCTACAGCAGTGATGGTCAAACATGGCCCTCCAGCTGTTTTGGGACTACAGTTCCCATCATCCTTGACCACTGGTCCTGTTAGCTAGGGATGATAGGAGTTGTAGTCCCAAAACAGCTGGAGGGCTAAGTTTGGCCATCACTGCTCTACAGCATGTGCAAAAACATCTTAATGGACCATTGTACCCACTATTGATGTCATCCATTCAATCTGCTGGAGCCTGTCTTCACTTGCAGGGGAAATCCCTAATTTACCAAGAGTTTTAGACTATTGGGTACCCTCACCTGGCTTAGCCAGCCAGTCAAAGCCATTCCCTGGATGTGGCCGCTGTCACATGCTACCAGCTTCTAGGGACCACAAGTGAGATCTGAGTGCAGTGTGGGGCCCAAAGGTGGACAAACTACCCCAGAAGTAGCACGACTCTTCCCCCACCAGAGGAACTACCCCATACATCCTGACTCTTTTTGGTAGATCTTGGGTGAAAAAGCCTGAAGTCTGTCCATCCCAGGGACAAAAGAGTGACAGAATACAGAATGCCTGTTTAGTAGTAGTAATACAGAAAAGCTTAATCATCACAGGTATGCAACAGAGCTATCCAAATCAAAATGGGATAAGGTGCCTATGGTTTGTGCAACTTGCTTATGCAGTTAAGATTCAGAAGAAAAATGCATGCATTGTACAACTTCTCTATACTTCCAGGTTCAAGCATGCTGGAGGATGAATGATGAGTTACTTTCCATTTTGGCAGCATATCTAGAAGTTGCATGCATGACTCGTGTGTCTTCTTTGAGGGCATTTTCTGATGATGGGGAATGCTACCTGTCATTGCTTCCTATATTTCCCCCCACCTTGGGCCATCAAACTCCATGGTGTTTCTCCAGGGAGCAGGGAACTACCGTATCTGCACAGGTAATGTAGAATACCATGAGGATACACATGATATACAGATAAATAACCACTGTCTGCAGAAAATGTGAAGCAGCTTTTGGAAGCAAGGAAAGAAAAAGGATGTCCATAGCTGTGTGATATTGAATAAGAACAGGTATTCACCAGCATTAAGACTCTTGTTCTCCATAGGTAGCACCCTGTCTCTAGTCTTCCTTCCCTGCAGAGGTGCAGTTACTGCCTAGGTTCAAGTTCCTCTTGGGACCATCTGCTGACTCATTGGACTGTTGCATCTTTCATTGATTTAGTTTAGGTAGTTGTAGTAACCCTTACGTAGGGAGATTTCTGTTCACTTTATGAGTATAGAAACGGGTGTTTTAAATCTTTTTTTGCTCTCGTGAGTTTATTATTATTACTTTACTTATTCAAAAGCATTTCTAAACTGTTTAATATTTCAAAAATCTCAAAACAGTGTGCCCTATGTGCAATATAAAAAACAGTATCCATTAAGACAAGAATATAACCTAAAACCAATAAAACAACTCTATAAAAACATATAAGAGCAAATAAATTGGGGATCCGGGGGAGCCATACACATAAAACAGACTCCAGTCTTGTGGGTCAGGAAGTGCCTGGGCAAAAATGTAAGTCTTTATAACACTGATAGTTGCTACTCGACATATGGCAGAGGTGAAGGCATTCCATTACTACATTTGTGTTTTTTGCTTTTGTTTTTTACAGTTACCGTATTTTCCGCCCTATAGGATGCACTTTTTCCCCTCCAGAAATGAAGGGGAAATGTGTGTGCGTCCTATGGGGTGAATGCAGGCTTTCGCTGAAGCCTGGAGAGTGAGGGGGTCGGTGCGCACCAACCCCTCTCGCTCTCCAGGCTTCAGGAAGCTCTGCGCAACTCTCGGGAGCCTGGCGCGAAGTCGCACCGGGCTCCCGAGGGCTGCGCAGAGCTGCCTGCAGTCCCAGGCTTCGCACAGCTCTGCGCAACTCTCGGGAGCCTGGCGCGAAGTCGCACCGGGCTCCCGAGGGCTGCGCAGAGCTGCCTGCATTCCGAAGCCTGGGGCATGCTGAAGAGCGCACCCGGGCTTCGCGCAGCTCTCCGCAAGCCTGGGGAGACCGGCGCGACTTCCTGCCGGGCTCCCTAGGCTTGCGTATAGCAGGCTGTTCTCGGGGCTGGGGTCGGGGGAAGGTTGGGCTTCCCCCGCACCAGCCCCGCGCCTGGGGGGGAAATAATTTTTTTTCTTTATTCCCCCCCCAAAAAAAAC